TTTTTCTCCATTTTGCCTACCTGGATAGGAGTCAAGATTAATATGATTATTTGCTTGAGGGTAAAACAATAATTTTTCATCATTTAAATTAGAGTTATGTATTGCAAGTCACTCATTTAAATAACATGAATGTCTTAAAGCACAGTACATGTGAGGTCAGAATAGTTCTGGGTGTGTGTACCATTACATTACAACTCATAAAGCTTACGTTTGTAGTTCAGGATTATTAAAAATACATGTCTTATGGGCCGTTCTCATGAAGAACTTCCTTTAGCACAAAGAAGTTTTTGCTAAGTACAAACCTATACATGATATTTAATTAGAACTCACTGACTATTCCTAGTACAAGTGCAAAAAGGAGACTTGTGGAACGAGATGTATCTGTTTGCATCTTTTGTTACAGTAACAGAACACACACTTTGATATCCACAGCATGTCTCCAGCATCAAGATAAAATTACTCATATTAAGCATCAGGATGAAAGCAAAGTAAAGAATATGAATCAGTGCATTTGGTATTGGTTCTTGGTATTCCTTTTAAGCCCCTTATAGATGCAACAGATCTTCCTGCTTCTTTTTTTTTCTTCACAGCTTGATTGATAGCCAAGATACAGAAAGAATCTTGCACTTCAACTTAACTAGGCCATGCCCAGTTCTAGTTTTGTTCCAAAGGAACAAAACAGATGCAATAAAAGGAAAATAGAACAAATAGAGAATACAAAATTTTGTAACTAGAGTAACTGAAAGAAAAAACAACAACAACAAAAAAGTTTTTATAAACTTTTCATTAAAACTTTAAACAATATGGAAAGTAAGACACCCTGTCCCAAGAACACACTCTTCTGCAACACCAAATCGAATCATGGCTGAAAATAAAGAGAATCTTTTGGAAAAGAACGACAGATAATCTTTCTGAGGCTGATATATAGATTTATATAACACACCATTCTTTTCTGGAGCATACATCTCACAAATGAGTATGAACCACAGCCAAAAACAATCAATAGTAATTAAAGAGAATGTGCGAGTTTAAAAAGAAAAAAAGCCAAAATCTCAGTCAAAAAAAGAGGTGGTGGTTTTTTTTTCTTTTTTTCCAGCAGGGGAGGAAGGAAGGTAACAGAAGAATCAGGGTAGCAGAGGCAACAGGAGGTTCAGAAGTATGAAGGTCATAGGAAGAGGTAAGGTCTGTCAGACACGCTTGGAGTATGAAGGGAATGATGCACAACAGTAAACTGTCGGGGGAAAAGAGTAAAAAGATAAAATTATAAGTATTGTGTAGGTCAGTCAGAAGAATGGCTAGCATGCTCGGTAACAGTAAAGAATTAGATGCTCAAAGGAAGTGTAGGTGCACGGGCACATGTCTTAAAATTTGGAATTCCACGGGTGCTCTAACTCCCTGGGTTCATGTATAAGCTAACTCAATCCTAACAGCACAATACTTACTGATAATGCAGTATGTCTATGAATTCTGCTTTACTTGGCCTGAATTTTAATTCTCCAAAAGGAGCAAGATAGATGATGTTGGAGATTCAACTTCATTCTTTAGCCTCAGATAGCCTGAATGAGTAAGAGTAGTGATGGTAATAAAAGCCTTCTAAGCCACACCTGCAGGTGTTCTTGCTTTAAAGACCACCTCTGAGAAAGAAAAGGCTGGGCCACTTGACACATGCCTTATGAAGCAGTGTACCATGATAAGCCAGCAAAACTCCCTGCACAGCAGCCCTCAGTTCTCAGTTGATTTAGAGCCACGTGTAAGAGATTGAAGTTTCCTCTGTGTTTCTACCCATTTTTGCTTCAAGCTAACAAAACCCAACTCTTAGATTTAATTTTTTTCAGAGACAGAGCACTTTCTGAAATTTATAAATCAATCAGTTGTCAAGCCCTTACCCAGCGTGAGCCCTGAGCTCACTAGAACTTTATTCAGTGCCAGAGTGAACAACTAAACTTCAGGATCTCACTCTACAGGAAGGTGAATTGTATATTCCTTCCCATAGAACTTTTAATTTCTTATGACATATCTTAATGATAGTTCGTAACTAGCCAAATAAAGGGCTAATGTGGCGTTTCACAGGAATACCGAATTTACTCTAATGAGCTGGTTGCCATTTCAAGGCAGCATGTTTCAGGTGCTTGTCTAGGTGCAGCAGTCTTTTACTATGTGCATTCTTCACCTCAGGTAAGTAGCACAGAGCTCACCATCAACTCACACATTTGGAACTTCACAAGCAATGTGACATAACCAAACACCATGCAACAATCTCTATCTCTGCATTCCCAAAGTACAGTCAATCTTAGAATCAGACCATGAACAATCTGATTAGTAAGAAAAGGAAGAAGAAAGGATCCCATAAACACATCAATTTAAACTGGCACACAACATGCAGCTAAGGTTCTATCAGACCAAATGTTAGAGAAAAGGTCATGTAATTAGAATAAAAAATATTTTAGAGCAAAAACTGTAAGGAACTTTTGTAGCCTTGTTTGTGCAAGAAATTCTTACCATTTGATACAGAAAAGCTCAAGTATCTTACTAAAGGCCATACTCATGAATTACTTAGACTCCACATAAATTTGGAAAACTCAATGAAAAGTGATTGCCACTACTCTCTATGAAATGAAAATCCCTCAACCTATGTCTCCCAGAGCACAAAGAGACAACTGTGTGTTAGGAAGGGAGGGAGGAAGGGAAGGAGGGAAGGAAGGAGGGAAGGAAGGAGGGAAGGAAGGAAGGAA